AACGATTTGGTTTCGTTTCGGTTTTGGCTTTAAAACCGCATCACAAAAAGTTTCGATTTCGGTTTCACTCGAAACTGCATCGAACCGAACCGTGCCCACCCCTAACCAGCATGGCTGTATGCAATATTGCATACCCTCAGCAAATATCAGAAATTTGGTTCGCATAACCAAAGTCTGAGTTATCTATTAAAGGTGTTTTATGAAAATTTCTGCCAGGCATTGCAGCTCCACTTCCTTAGATTCAAGTTTATTGGCAACCTTCTGGAGATGAATCACATCATTATAGGTGGAAATAAGTTCCTTGTCTTTTGCATAGTATGCTGACCAAAGCTTCGAACTGACATGCTCAAGGTCCAGAGTCTGAGGCATGTAGTGGTCAACTTCATTCTTAACAGCCTCCAACATTGCCAGACCTCATGGCCCAAGGTGAAGCAGCGCATCAAGGAGGCCAAGCTTGTGCTAGCCCTCTGCCTTTTCTCTTTAGCCCCAAAGGCCAAGTGCCCCCGTGCCTCTCTCTCTCTCCCACACGAGCCCAAGCCTAGGCCCTCAGTGCTCCAACCCAAGCCAACCACGCGTCGGGCCCAGCTCATGCCGCCAACCCTCTGCCCAAGCTAAGCCGATACCGTTGGACTAAGCCGACAGCAGCAGCACAACAGCCATATGGTTGCTTTACCTCATCCTTGGCCCCATGGAGCCAAATTTTCAAATCCCAGAGTTTTAGAAAATTAAGAAGACGAAGAAAATAGAATTTTTCTTACCTTGGTGCAGCGCAAATAAGAAGAAAAGCAACGAGAAAAAATTCTTTGCATGGGCAAGTGAAAAAGAAGGTTCGGGGAGGGGGAATAATTTTCCTCTGGCTTTCTCTCTTTCTTGTAGGAATAAAATTTTCTCTCCAAATTTATTCAACCCCCTGCTTAAGGCAGACTTAAATAAGTTTTGGGTGACAATTAGTTTTCCTTCCTTGAAGAATTTATCTCCAAGTCAAAGTAGAAGATCTACATCAAATTAGGAAACAACTCTCTACTTACCTAAGCAGTTTGGGATTTCTACACCTATTGCCCTTTTCTGCCAACAACCCTAGTAGGTGTGGGGCATTTGTGGAGCCATAAAGAATCACAAAAATCCACAAGCGCAACACATGGATTTTTGCCCAAGAAAGACAAGATTGGCCTCATTAAATGGGCGGCCCTCTCAGATACTCCCACGCACAGCTTAGCATCTTTGGAAGTTCAAGCAGTTGACTACGACTGCTCAAAGTTCCCATGCTCATGGCAAGGAAAAGTCAAAGGCATTAAAGATATGATTAATTACTAAATCTTATCTTTAATACATTCCCAACTAAGGATCAACTCTGTTCAAGTAAGTAATCTCTATTTTAATCAATTAGGGATACTTCCACCATTATCCCAAGACTTTATCCCTAAATTAATATCCTGAGAATATTCTTACCTCATTTATCCAACCGATGACACACCTTGGCCAATATGATGCCGCCATGTGTAGGGCAAAACCCTACACCCATGGCCGGCCACACCTCCCTTTATGTACCTCTATCTCCACCAAATTTTGGTAAGCTTTTCTATATACAGAAAATCCTACACACTCACTCTATACAGAGAACTAACTTAGACATTGGAGATCCATTGGCCTAACCCCCCACTCCTCGTGGGCGCGTAAGGCTTAGGTTTTTGATCAAATGTATTGATTGTTTTGTAGGTACTTTTTTGTCAAGACTGAAAACGACGAAAATTGTCTACTGCACCCTAGAATGTGCTCCCATTGCAGTGCGTTGTTATTTTGTTCGTTGTTTTCAATTATATCTTCAAACCAATTTTCAAATCATGTTTTTAGGTTATTGTCTGTTAGTTTTTGTGTGTTGCTTGTGCTTGGTAAATTAAGGAATTTAATTAACAAGAAAGCGTTATCAATCTTCGTGAGTACAATCTCGCATTCTGATATACTATATCTTTGGAATGTCCACTTGCGAGTCATAAATTATTGGCGACATTTTGGAGGATTAAACATACGTTCTTTCCCCGGTTACGTGTCCTTCTTTACTCTATTTTAATTAGTTTGTTTTCTTTTTAATCGTATTCTGATATACTATATGACCAATAAACCGTTGTTAGATTAGTTGAAGCGATCTTTAAATCATTGTTCCAAATATGTGGGAGCCGAAATACGTATTGTACCTGTCGGAGGCATCGCTGAATTCAAGGAGGAGTTGAAACGCACCAAGAGCTTGCTCTAGGCTCAATCACAAAAGAAAATTCGTCCCCTCCTTCTAGCCCTCATTTAAGTTCACAACAACGCTCATCGGACAAATAAGGAGGAGACGAGGGCGGAGCCAGAATTTTTTTCTTGGGTGGGCTAACTGAAATTAGTGTCATAAAATCATACGTTTATTTTTTTGCTTATATAAAATTATATAGTAATCAATATAAAAGAACAACAATAGAATATAAATTATTCTCAAAATCATAATCTAGCCGATATATTCAAGGACAATATAAATAATTAACCTATTAATTAAATCAAGAATAAGTAAATAAAGAGATTAAGAATGTACCAAGGGTGACTTCATTGGAAAATCGCAACGGAAAGTAAGGAATTGCGGACATAGGGATTTACTTGTGGATTTAAAAAAAATTAATTTTCTTTTCTTGAGTAAGAAGCACAGAGGCTAAATCGCATAGGGTAAATGGTCTTTTTCTTTTACAAATAGGATAAGGGGGGACGGGAGATAGAATTAATTTATAATTTTTAGCATAAAACTTATGGGGTGTGATATCCCCACACTTTTTTTACTTCTCACACACCCCTCATTAATTTATGTCATTTATCTTCTTTAATTCATTTGATCTGATGGCCAGAAATTAAGAGAGTGTGTGAGAAGTAAAAAAGGGTGTGTAGATAACACACCCCAAACTTATTATTTATTACCTATCCTCTACTAAATATACATTAAATAATAATCTATATTGAAATTGAATGGCCTATAAGCATGAGATTACAAAAGAATAGTGTTATTCACACTCATTTTTACCTCCAACACACCCTTATTAATTTTTTGCCATTGACCATCTTCAATTCATTTTTTTTCCAACAGTTGAAAATTCAGAGAAGTGTGTAAGAAGTAAAAATAAGTGCATGAATAGCACTACCCTTACAGAAAACCTCCCTAGGCTCTAGCCCACCTTAGCCTTATGGGTGGCTCCGCCATTAGGAAGAGATGGAACTTGCCAACAACAAGATCATGGGCAAGCGGCCCTTTACCGTAGTAGTGGAAATGTGTTGAGCCTTTGTATAAGTTCAAACCCCGTCAGTGACTAATCTAACAAAATCTATCGCTTGATAAAAAAATAAAAATAAAAACAATGAGATCATGAGAAACCTTGATATCCCCAACAATCCCCACCTCATTTATGCTCCCCTCTTTACTTTTTTTTTTTATTTTGTAAAAATATATTTAACAAAAATATTATTCTTACATTCTATTTGTACCATCTCTCTAATAGATGTAGGGCCCACTAATTAGAGAGATGATACAAATGATAGTACAAATAGATAATAAGCATAACACTTGATCTCTGCACAATAGAAGCGTTATCAATTTTGTACTTTAAGCTAACTTGGATAAATGTGTGAATGATGAGACAAAATATGTACTTAGTCACTCAATCATAAGCATATGATGCAATAACGTATTAAAGTTGACCGTATCTAAATGTTTCAAATGATACTTGTAGCACAAATGCACAAAACAATTGGCTCCAAAACACAAATGTTATGTATGAAAACAAAAAGGTGTATTATCTATTTCTCTTACAAATATTAATATTAGCCTACAGATCTCTTTTTAAGGAGTGAAACTAGAGACTCTGGTGCATGATAAAAGTTTGGGGTAAGTTAAGTAGTGCAAATTCTTTTATATATATATATATATATATTTTTTTTTTTTTTTTTAACAAACGTTAGCCAAATGGCTGAAAACTGGAAACAAATCATGCAAGAGAGAGTAATTGTACGAAGACTTTCTCAATGGTATGAAATCACTCTTCAGGTTCTTTTAAAGATTAGAAAATTTATGATGTTACGTTTTTAGTATACGAAAATTCATCGAGAATAATTATGACTCATAATGTTGTAAAACAGTGAATAATAATAGTATTGTTGAATTTAAAATTATGAGTGCATTTTTGCTCACCACTATTTAGTGTGGTGTATGCTCACCACCTTATTTATCATTGTTAGATGAGTTTGAATTTTGAGATTTGTGTTTATCCACTACACGAATCTCGAAATTCAAACTCATCAAACGGTAATAAATAGAATAAATAGGGTGGTAAGCATACATTACACTAAATGGTGGTGAGCAAAAATGTTCTCTAAAATTATATCTTTTTCTAAAAACGTTTAAGAGCTTTTACACCTTGATATTCTGTGTATCGGGTCAAAACTAGAACAACATTAACAAATTAGTCAACAAAATTACATCCCAGTGGACGACAACGAATCTTACAGTTATTCCACGACAAATCAACCGGACAAGCCTGTCATGTAGTGCCTAGTAACGGCTACTTTACCGATTATAGCCAGTGGCACCCCATCCCACCTTTCCCCAACGGTCACATTTTCTGATTTGTCCTCCGAACAAACTTCCGACACTTCTTCTCACAACGTTTTTAAATCCCAATTATTTTTCGGGAAAAAAAAAAGAACAGAACTTTTTCCCTTTAAATTCATCTCCTTCCTCAATCTCTCAGAACTGAACAATCATTCACAACAACAACATTAATCTGAAGTATCATTTGGAGATTCCAAATATGCATAAACTTGTTGTACTCTCTGTTCTTCTCTTTTGCGTCGTCCCACACTTCAATGTGGTATAAGCAGGCAATGCGCCTGCTCCTTCCCCAAAACCCACCAACACCCCAACAAAGCCACTGTCTCCGCAACCCTCTCCTGCTTCTTCTCCAACGACTTCTCTTGCAACTCCTATGGCATCCCCTCCGACTCAGTCGCCGCCTTCGCCTTCTCCTTCTCCCAAGACCTCTCCGCCAACTTCCTCGCCGACCCCAACTCCTTTGGCGGCAACCCCACCCACCGTCTCTCCAACGTCCCCTCCGACATCGGTTTCTCCAGCGAAGAGCCAGTCCAAAAGTGTGTCTCCACCGGTGAGCGCTCCTAAGAAAAGTCTAGTCGATGCTTCACCAGTTGCAGAGGGTCCTGAGATTGCAGCGACCCCATCGTTACCAGTGGGCATTCCTTTGAGTTCTACAACACCGGCAGGATCCCCGGATAATGTTGCCCAGGGTCCATCAAGCGATGAATCGTCTGCTTTGGGTTTGAATGCGGTTCGGCTAGTTTTGAGCGGGCTGTCTATCTGGTTTGCTTTGGCTCTCTAGATCAGTACACTTCATTTTGTGTTCTCAAGAAAATATATATATAATTTTATTAACTAGGACTTAATTTTTATTTTTTTTGCCCTGTACTGATAACTCATTGGTGTACTTTCTATTGTTATAAATAGGCAAAAGTTAGAAAAATAACCTTTCTAAGGACATGAGCGAAGCAAGTGCAAAATATCACACTATAACTTTAGTAGCTATAACACAAAAAGGATGGCAGATAAAGAGAGGGAGGGATACTGATATTATTTCTCTTGTTTTCTTTCACAGTGTGTTTGATAATAGACAAAGTGTTCTATTTATAGAGTGACTCCCGTAACTACAACCATCAAAATATAATGATGATACTTTTGAAAGTATCAAAAACTATTACTCACTATTACTAAGTCTTTACAACTTTGAGTGGACATTCATTATTCATCCGCTAATTCTATAGCACTCCCCATTGGATGCCCACATATCAACATCAGTTGCCTCATTAAAACATTGCTCGAAAAAACCCAATAGGATAAAATCAAAGCGAAGGAAACAAAGTATAACTTTATCTGGATTGTTGATATAGTGTTAAGTATGCTTATGTTGCCTCATTAAAACCTTGATAGGAAAAACCCAATGGGAAAAATCCTAGTCGAAGGAAAAAGAGTACAACAAGCATGTATCATGGATGCTCCCCCTGATATTTATCTTCTCCTGATTTCGCATTCTTCAAATTTAGCTGATTGGTAAGTCGACGTAATCCAATACTCTGCACTAACTTCTGAAACGTGCACTTTGGTAGAGACTTGGTAACAGGTCTGCCAAATTTTCATTGAAATGTATTTGTCTGACTTTAATAACTTTAGCCTTTTAAAGCTTATGTGCACTGAAAAACTTTGGAGATATGTGTTTAGTTTTATCGCCCTTAATGAATCCTTCCTTCATTTGGGCAAAACAGGCTGCATTATCTTTATGGATGATAGTTGGATTGTCTGTCTTCGAAGGTAAACCACATGAATTCCGGATATAATGGATCATTGATCTTAACCAAGAACATTCACTACTTGCTTCATGTAAAGCAAGTATTTCTGAGTGATTTGAAGATGTAGCAACTAATGTTTACTTTGTTGAGCGCCATGAGATTGTTGTATCTCCATTCTTGAACACATATCCAATTTGTGAGCGGGTTTTATGCGGATCAGAGAGGAAACCAGCATTTGCATAACCAGCAAAGATCTAGTCATTTGTGGATTTCTCTGAGTAGAAGAGACACATGTCTGTTGTCCCATGAAGGTATCACAAACATCTTTGACCCATTTTCAATGACGAATTGTTGGAGCAGAGCTATATCTTGCTAACAAGTTAACTGAAAAAGTTATATCTGGTCTAGTACATTGTGCTAAATTCAATAAAGCACCTATTGCACTCAGATATGGTACTTCTGGACCAATGACCATTTCATCATCTTCTTTTGGACGGAATGGATCTTTCTTAATGTCCAAACAACGAACGACCATTGGCGTGCTGGGTGGATAAGCCTTGTCCATGCCAAATCGCTTCAAGATTTTTTCAATGTAAGCTAATTGGTGGACCAAAATTCCATTAGCACAATGCTCGATCTGCAGGCCGAGACAATATTTTGTTTTCCCAAGGTCTTTCATTTCAAATTCGCTTTCAGATATTCAGCAGTTTTATTGAGCTCTTCAGGAGTTCCAACTAGGTTCATATCATCAACATATACTACCATTATACCAAATCTAGAATTGGATTTCTTAATGAACACACAAGGGCAAATGACATTGTTGATATATCATTCTCTGATCAAATATTCACTGAGACGATTATATCACATTCGTCCAGATTGTTTCAGCCCATACAATGATCGCCTTAATTTGATCGAGAGCATACCTCGTGGTTTGTTAGTTATTTCAGGCAACTTAAGTCCTTTTGGGACCTTCATGTATATGTCAGTATCTAATTCTCCATATAGATACGCAGTGATGACATCAATAAGTCGCATGTCAAGCTTTTCTAAAACCACTAAACTTATTAAGTAACGGAACGTAATTGCGTCCATTACAGAAGAATATGTCTCCTCATAATCAATTCCAGGTCTTTGTGAAAAGCCTTGTGCAACAAGTCGTGCTTTGTATCTTGCAATCTCGTTTTTCTCATTGCGTTTTCTTGTGAATACCCATTTGTAACCCACATGATTTACATCAGGCGGAGATTGGACTACCGGTCCAAAAACATTTCGCCTTTCCAAGGAATTTAATTATGCCTGGATTGCATTTTTCCACTTAGGCCAATCTTGTCTCTGTTTACATTCATCAACAGAGCGGGGCTCAATATCATCACTTAATATGATTTCAGTGGCTATTGCGAATGCGAACATATCATCGATGATTATTTTACTCTGATCCCACAATTCATTTGTACATGCATAATTTATGGAGATTTCTTTACTTTCATGTACTGCTGTCTCTTCAGGGACATGTGTCTCATCAAGGACATTTTCTTTTTTTGGAAGTCCAGAATCATGAATTGTGGATTTATCATTCATTCTCTCTTCTTGAATGATTTCATTTGGATTCAGTTGTGCCTTTGTCTTTCTCTTTTGAGGGGCTGAATCTTTTGAACCTGGGGGTCTACCACGCTTCAGGAGTGCACCAGATGAATCATTCGCTGCCACTATATTTTGTCCAACAAGGACATCAATTCTTACAGGTGCATTTATAGCTGGTATATGTGATTTTGTCACTTTCATAGCATCATTAAATGCATCTGACATTTGATTGGCAATACTTTGAAGATGAACAATCATTTTCACTTCATTTTCTCATTGAGTGCTACGTGGATCAAAATGAGATAAGGTGGGTACAACCCATGTCAACTTTTACCGTTCTTCTGGAACGATCTTTTCTCCCCCTAATGACGGGAAGACTGTCTCATCAAAGTGACAATCAACAAAATGAGCTGTAAACATATCACCTGTCAAGGGTTCCAAATATCTAATGATAGATGGTGAATCAAAACCCACATAAATTCCCAGTCTACGCTAAGGTCTCATTTTAGTGTGTTGCAGCGGTGCAATAGGCACATAAACAGCACAACCAAAAACTCGTAAATGTGAAATGTTTGGCTGATGCCCAAACACGAGTTATACTGAGGAGTATTAGTGGTTCACTATAGGTCTCAATCGAACAAATGATGCAACATGTAAGATGGCATGTCCCCATGCAGAAACTGGCAATTTTGTTTTCATAAGCAGAGTGCGAGCTATTAACTGAAGCTGCTTGATCAATGCTTCTGCTAAACCATTTTGAGTATGGACATGAGGAACAAGGTGTTCAACATCAATGCCCAATGTCATGCAGTAATCATCAAAGGTTTGAGATGTAAATTCACTAGCGTTATCCAGTCAGATTGATTTAATGAGGTAATCTGGGAACTGTGCTCGTAACTTAATTATATGAGCAAGAAGTCTCGCAAAAGTTACATTTTGAGTAGACGAGACAAACATGTGACCATCTAGTAGATGCATTAACCAAAACCATAAAATATCGAAATGATCCACAAGATGGTTGAATAGGTCCACAAATATCCCCTTGAATTCTTTGCAAAAATGATGGGGAATCAACATCAACCTTTAGTTGTGATAGTCTAATTATCAACTTCCCTTGCGAACAAGCCTTGCAAGGGTTATCATTTGAGATAGCAATGTCTATGCTCAATAATGGATGTTCATTAAAGTTGGTAATGATCCTACGCATCATGGTGGATCCTGGATGACCCAGACGGTCCTGCCAAAGCATGTAAACTTTTGAATCAATGAACTTCTGGTTCATGACAGTATGTGATTCAATTGTCCTTATGTATGTATAATACAATCCACTCGACAAACCAGGCAACCTCTAATATACGCTTCTGGGTATCATTGGAGGTAATGCATAGATTCTCCACATTTTCTGCACTTTTTGTTTCAATGTGGTATCCATTTAAACGTATGTCTTTGAAACTTAACAAATTTCGAGTAGATTGAGTAACATACAATGCATTCTGTATGGACAATATTATTCCATTTGGTAACATAATCTGGGCTTTCCCCGAGCCTTCAATTACATCTGATTGGCCTGATATTGTTGTTTCCCTTACTCTTGTAAGCATCAAGCTTGAGAAATACTTTCAATCACAAAGTATTGTATGTGTAGTTGCGCTGTCTGCAAGACAAATATCTCCACCATTTCTCAAGTTTTGAGAATAACCACCGTTTTTATCCATGCTTTCTGAGTAAATAGAATTACAGTTAACAAACAATTTATAACAAAAAATTTAAATGCCACTTTTATTTAATTGAAATGTTGGTTTTAAACTACAAGTTCATAAAAATAAAAGTACATCAAACATAATGATTCATTCGGACGGATACACTTCATTCCCCCTTTCCACAATGAAGTTCGAGACATCTAGGTGGGTTGTGTTCAACTGTCTTGATAAGTTACACACTGCATCAGGTATATCCATTGGTGTAGCCTAGTCGAGGAAATTAGTTTCGACACCCTTTTCTTTAAGGGAGGCTTGATATAGATCCACCAGATGTTTTGGGGTACGACAGGTACGCGCCCAATGCGCATCGCCACCACACCTATGGCAGGTTCCATCAGAGTTTCTAGGAGCATTGTTCATACGAGCTTTACCTTTGTGGTGATTTCCATCTTTAAAGCTCAGGCCTGAATTTTGCCTTGGAATCTGGTTGTGAGACTGACCACCATGATTCTTGCCTTTCCTGTTCCACTAGCCTCGTTTGTGGCTATGTCCTCATTTATGATTATCGCCACCAGATGATATGGCATTCACTTCGAGAGAAGCAACATTCATTTCTAGGAATGGTGCAGATCTAGTAGGTCGGGACTGATGATTTTTCATCAGGAGCTCATTGTTTTGTTCAGCTACCAAAAGCACAGATATCAACTGGTTGTATTCAGTGAAGCCTCGCGCTCTATACTGCTGTTGCGAGAGCA